CAGGGGCAGCCTGCTGGGGCTGGCCCTGGGCGGACGAGGGGCTGGGCTGGGCTGGTGCTGCGGGGGCGATCTTCTGGAGGGCCGGCAGGTGCTGCTCGAAGTTGGCCATCCGGTTGTCGAGGCTGTTGAGCATGGTGAAGATGCCGCCCTTGGGGCGCTTGGGGGCCGGGGCGGGCTCCCTCTCCTCCCGGCGGCGCCGGAACTCAGCCTCCAGGCGGTCGGCTGTCCGGATGTACCTGACGCAGCGGTGGGCGGCCTCCCGGTCGCCCATGACGAAGAAGTTGCACTGGACCGCAATGAGCTTGCGGTCCACCTTGCCAGCGTGCTTCTCGGAGCCCTGGGTGGGGACGCGGCGCTGGACCACGTCGCCGATCAGCCGCTGCTCGTCCCGGGGAACGTCATCCCAGAAGCAGGGGTAGTCCTGGGAGTCGTTGATGATGTGGGTGGAGGACCAGGGGTGCAGGATGTCGTTGTCCGAACCCACTTCAGAGTGGTTCGAGTCGTAGCGGGGCTGCCGCTGGCACAGCCGACGCAGGTTTTCGACGATGGGGGACGTCTAGGGGAGGGTCACGCGGTCTGCAGACGGGGGGGAAAGGCTTGGGTTATTCTGGAGGTCCAGAGGAGACAGGTCTGATGTCTCTGGGCTGTCCAGCTCTTCCGCTCCCGACTCCGCAGTACTCGATCTCACTAGTTTCCTGGTCTGACGGCTGATAGGATGGATCTTCTGACTGAGCATCCGAAGAAGAAGAAGACTCGGTTCTGCCAAAATTTGGCACAAACCGGCGGTGGTTCTGAGACATGTCTACGTTCTTCTCCTCCCACGCACCTTCTGGCTCGACTGGGTCCTCTAGCTCAGGGACGTCGTCGTCATCTGGCAAATCTGACGTGATTGTCGCTGCCAGCTGTTCTATTTCGGAGAAGAAAGACAGGGGAGGCAAGCTGCTGCCAAACTCTCGCAGCGGAGTATCTTCCAGGCTGTTGTAAAGCGGTCCAAAACCAGTCTCCAAAGTCTCTAGCTGCTCTGCATTAAGCGGCGGATAGAATGCAGATGCGGCCAAAGCGGCTAAGCCGGGCTGCCTACCTCCTGGGAAAGGCTCAGGCGCGGGCGGGTCCCGCTGGACATGCTGCTGCGGCTGGCCATTCTGCTGCTGGCCAGTTTGCTGCGGCTGCGCGCTCGGCTGCCCCCCTCCTTCTGTCTGCGCAGAAACCTGGGGGCGCCCGCCCCCCACAGCTGGGTCCCGCTGGTGCTCCTCAGATGCCATGGTACGGCTGCGCAGGGGCGAGAGGACAAGCTGTTGGCTGGGGGGGGATGCTCCCTGTGTGGACAATTTGAGCAAGGAAGTGGCTGCAGTATTGGTATGGTCTTCCAAAATGGAAGACTGTGGAAGATTGCCTGGCTGCAGGGCTGGCGATTCCTGTCCTAGTCGGCATGGGTAAGGATGCTCCATGTGAAGAGATCCTTCTTTTGGACAAGTGTGTGGCTGTGGGTCGGCAATATTGTCGACGCGCAAGCCTAATGCAGGATCGTCACGAGTCTTGTGTGCCAGTTTGTCAGCTTCTAGATTGTCAAGGTGACAATGGTGCATGCTCGAGCATAAGCAAGCCAAGCTTGCTCGAGCTGCCCTCTCTGACTGATGCTGGTTAGGCAGAGGCTCCTGACTCTTTGGATCTCCAGAGGGGTCAGCTGAGGTGCCAGTGGCACTGGACACCTGTTCAGTGAGGTTGGATGGACTGGCAGTGGAGTCTGCCAGGTCATCATCCGAACTAGAATGGTTTGTCGAACTGGATCCAGTAGGTCTGGGTGTCCTGGCTGCCAGCTTGGCTCTTTCAGTGCTCTGTGCTTCTGGAGATAGAGACTGAAACCCAAAATCATAGCCACGCGGATCCTTCTTTAGTACAGCTTGGAAATCCGGATGAGGGTTTTTGTAGCTGTTTGGATTTGGATCTGCGGGCGGTGTGCGTGGACTTCCGATCCACTGTGGGTCAGCCGGGTCCTTCCAATATTCATAATTTTCATGGTATTTATTTGTTATGATTGGGGGTAGTTTATCCAATTCTTCTAGTTCTTTAGTCATCTTTATGCTTCGTTTGTGTTGTTCCGCCTCATCCTTTGCTCGTTGAGCATCGGTTCTAAGTTGGTCCTTAGGTATATGATATAAAAATTGCGGCGCTTCCGCTTTTGCTATTTCCAAGGATCGAAAAGTTTCAGACTTCTCAGAATAATTGATTGTGCTCCCTTCCCCCCCCCCTCGCATCGGAACGGAATTTCTCAATTTCCTCGGTTGGTCGGAAACTTAATGGCATATCAGGGTTGCGCCTGAGAAATTGTGTTCCAATGCGTTTGCGGGAATATTTCTTCTCCACTCGTTTGCGTTCGCGCTTCTTAGTGATGATGGCGGGCTTTGGGGTAGGCATATTTTGTGCCTTTTTGCGCCTTGCGGCTTTGGCTTGAGCTTGATCATGCAACTTATTTTCGGTGAGTTCCATGTCAAATTCAAAATTCTTTTTTTTATCTTGTTTTGCAATTTCCCGTGCTCGGTCATTTTTGACGTGACTGGGTAAAGGGTTTTCGGAGGCAATCTCCTTAGAATTTGCGGGACTTGACCCTCGAGATGAGTATGCATTTGAAATTTGATGACGTTGTTCGTATTCTTTCCATAGCTCTCTCTTTAGATTGCTATCTTTTAACCCGCGAGTGTTCCTTCGACTATGTGTTGCGGCTGAACTTCGAGTGGTTGGGTTGCGTTGCCGGTTGGCTAATTCCGGATGCAAATGAACACATTGGGATGAGTCATGAGTATTAAGCCGATGATGTGTGCACCATGGTTTGCCGGGTATGCGTTGATTGATGAGCCCATTGGCCATTGGTTTACTCGGGCATTGTGCGGCTTGATGTCCGATTTGACCACATTGAAAGCAAGGGCCGGGTTGGAATGTCATTGGAGTATTTTGCGCGGCTTTGGCGCTCACTTTATTAGTAGGTACCCTACAATTATGGGCCGAATGGCCTAATCGTCCACAAGTAGTACATCTTGTAACCCTTCTAGTCTTAGGCCTGGTGTCATTCTTGGGATGGGTGGTACTAGTAGAACTATTATTATTAATAATCTTAGGATTCAACAATCGTTCTTGGTTAATTATCTTTTCAAGCTTCTCAGCTTCAGACCTTATTAGTTCTACCGTCCATGTACTAATATCTTCATATTGAAATTGTAACTTAGTTCTCAACTTGGACTGTATACTCCATGGCAATGCGTCGAGTAGCTTCTCAGCCGCTTGCGTTTGAGGTTGTTTTATATCTAATGCTAACTTAGACATACGTTGACTAGCTGTTGTAATAGACTCATTATCTTCAACCTTGAAATCTCCATTTGCTTGAATCTTCGCCGCCGAGTCCTTAGGGTACGCCTGCAAGAGTCGAGCCCAAAGTTCAGTGACGGGTTCTCCTAAAAAGTTAGTGACCTTAGGAGGTTCAAGTGGCAAAGTTGGTCTAGCATTAGTTCCCCTCTCTTCAACCGTTTGCGCATCCCAAGCCGTGATGGATTGTTGTGCGGTTGCTTTATCCCTAAGATAATTTGATTGCAATGACTCATTGTGCTTGGCTAACTCTTCTTCCTTTTCGGTTCGCAATGTAAGACAAGTATCATGAGCTGCGCCACCGGTTTTAGACATAATTACGTGGAATTTGTCGGTGGTGGTCAACCTATCAAAACCGGTTTGCAACTTATGAGTGGCTTCCCATGCGGCATAAGTAGACCGCAAGTTGTCCAAAGTGATAGAGGATTTGGGTTCCCCCGTGAACTTTTGACTAAACGAGTTAAGTTCCTTTAGCGCCATTGTGAAAGTGGCGGTAGTTTGGGAGTCCGCGGTGTCTAGGCCTTCGGATATGGTGGAGGCTTGAGTGACGGCGGATGTCTCACCTCGCACACTTCTGGGTCACCAGTTGGCCCACTGGACAAGGGGTAGCCTCGGCCCTTCGGTCCTGTAAGCAGAACTTTGGGCGTAAGGATTCTGAAGGTCTCTTCGGAGATGGTATCCTTCTTCAGAATCTGAGTTGGACATGGATGCTTTTTGTTTCAACCGGATGTCCAAACTAAATGGTCCACTGACTGGACTTTGGCAGACTGTCTGCCTTAGCTTGTTTATCCAAGCTAGTAAATGCGATCGGATCCTACTGCAGGCTTTTAGTAAGGCTGCCAACAGGGACTACTTTCCAGTAATTGTCTTTCCTTTGACCTTCCGACAGATGCTAGAAGGGATGATGCGGACTGACAATAACTGTCACCTGTAGCTATGGTTGTCTACTGTATAACTACTTAGGGTCTTATCTACTCCGAACGCAGGAGGTGGGTACTCTCCCCCTGGGCTTGCCAGTTGCGAATGTCCTTCCGAGATTCCCTCTTCTGGACAAACGCCTAGTGAGCTAACTGGACTCTATCTGCTGTTACACACGGGCTCTGACAAATTCAAAGCTTCAATGTCCGGACGGACCTGACAAAGGGTTACGGCAATGTCAGGGGCAAACCACAGAATCCTTGTCTAGTGGGGTGATTTCCACTGAGACAAGAGACGGCACCTGCTTGAGAAAGCAGTGCCTCTGGTCCTGGTACCTGCGCAGTCGACAAATGGCAGCCAGATGCAATGAAAGAAACACTCTTCAGTCCAACTAATTGTAGCTTCGGTTAATTTGGGCTTAATCCCACCGGTCAGGCAACAGTTCTCAATAACCGGCACAACAGAAAGGCGACACCTTTCTGGTTCTCCGATGCTTACCTTATCCCTGGGTAAGGGGCGCGTAGTAGTTGTTGGACTTCCAGGTCAGATTTCGGAGCGGCTTCTTCTGGTATTTCTGGAGGTACGGCTGGGGTTGATGCTTCTGGGGGTACGGCTTCTTCTGGTACTACGGGTACTTGGGGAACAGCGACGGGGGGCGATACGGGGCGGGCTGGTAGCGGCCCTGGTACGCCTTGCTGTCCAACCAGCGAGGTGCGGGCTGGTGCTGATACACTGGTCCCTGGTGCAATCTTGCCGGAGGGGCAAAATGCACACGCCGGTTGTCTCCGAAGCCTGGGGGGGGCCTGGGAGTGTCGGCGCGATACTGCTTACGCCAGGTGGTGTTGCGGACCACCGGGGCAGGGGCAGGGCGAGGAACCGGTGCAGCAGGCAGGTAGCGAGGGGCGTTGACTGGAGAGGTATGGGGGCCGGTCCGGTGCTGACGCCGCGGCTTGGGGTGACGGGCCGCAGGGATCACCCTGATGGCTTCGTACACACCGTGCTGCTTGGTGGTGACGTAGTGGTGTTGAAGGTTGGCCTTCCGAGCTGCCAAGCGATGAAGCTCCACAGCTTTGGTGCCGTCCAAGGCTACGTGTTTTGCGAACAGGTTGTCCGCCTTTGTGACTGCGTTAAGCAGCCGGTCTTCGTTGACTTCGTCTGCCTGGGCTTCCAATCGCTGGCTGCGGTCGGAGCTGGCACTAACGTTGACTCTGAGGGTGCTGCGGAACGCTTTGGATGCGCGTCCGGGGCACTGATCTGAAGAATGAAGGATGGAGGTGGGCCCACAGTGCTGGCACTGAGGCGGGAACTTGGAGTGTTGGGGGGAAGATGGAGGGGTGTTGGAGAGGCTGGGAATGGAGCTCCGGCGGTTCTTGGACACGGGGCTAAGCGGGGCCTCGACTCGCTCCAGGAGTCCGGGTACACTCTTCGCTGTCTCTTCCCAATTGAAATTCTACTGGCGGAAGAAAGCAATTAACAATGGTTGTGGACGTCCGACGCGCACTGGCAGGGGACGCGCACTAAGTAGAATCCGGAGATGTCTAAGATGAACAGGAAGGAACAGAATTGGGGGCTTCCGTTGACAGTGATCCGGAGCTGGATGGCTCCTGCTACCACTGGCTTCCAGAGGTCCCTTTGGACTGTGAGGCGGCTGCCTTTAACTGATGGCCCAACAGGGTTGTCCGAGAACGTTGCCCTGAGAGGCTGGGTGAGCAGAACGAAAGAACATCGACTGTTCCACTTCACAGGTACTGACTGACACACTGGACAAACGACAGACTGCCAAGTTTCCTTCTGTGGACCTACGTAATACCTGATATCGGAGTACAGCTGATCTACTCCGCACAGGTCTTCCCAATCTCTATACTGAAACGGATATCCGGACAAGTTTGCTACAAGACCTTTCTGACGGTAATGCACTGGGAGCTGCTGATCTATCGGCTCCTGGACTACTTCTGCAATTTCTTGATTGTCCGCTTCCCAAACGATGTGGCTTTCAAAGACGGGTGATGATTCAGTCGATAGAAATCCAACTTCCTCTGTTACGTTCAGAACCAATCAAACAGAACAATGAAAACTTCCTCCGGCTCCAAATGATCCTTCAGAACCTAATCCAATTCCAAGCAGGTCTCTACCTACTGCGGACCTCCGCTGAAAACTCATTCACACGGCATTGTCCTGCCAGACTTTCATTCAACTGGGGTCGGGCCCCTTCCCTTGTTTAAGGATTGATTGAAAGGACACGATGGTTTCTTAAGCTGGCGCTCAGAAAAGTATGGCTGGTATATGGCACGTTATGAACAAGCTGTATTGGAGGTGGCTTGTGCTAACATTCAAGGTAATCCCCACATCATCTCTATTGTCCGTCCGAGAGGTTCGCTACCCAGGGTGGCGGTGGCTCGCATTCAGGATTCTGGATGTCCAAAGGGACTCAAGCATGAACACAAGACAAGTACAAGCAGTTGACACTTACTGACTGGATGATGGCGTCGCCGGAGGCATGGAACATGGTGATGTGAAACAAGAAGGTAACGCTGAAGGCTATAGGGCCGATTAAGTTACTGTCGTGTTTGGTACTGCTATTGTTGTTGTTGGTCTCCTACTCCGGTGGTGTTGTTGTAGCTGGTACGTTGGTGTTGTCTCCTCTGTCGCCGGAACTGCTGGCGCTGGTTGTTGAGTACTCGAGGTACTCGGGTGCTGGGTTGAACGCTCAAGGCGCTCGGATGCTGGGTGGACACATGTGTCCGGTGGCGATGGGTAGTTAACTTGAATGAAAGTCAAGTTGGAAATGGCTGGGCCGTTGACTTAAGTACCCGTGGATTCGCATAACGAGTTTGGACATCCACTTGCATGCTGCAGCTGGCTGCGCCGCATGCTATAGGGTACGCGACGGCCGGTATCATAACCTGGTGACTCATGGTGACATAACCGGTTAGTGGCTGGTTACGTCCCTAGGGAACGTTCGAAAACGTACCCGGATTCAATCGCGGAACCTTGGTTGCAATAATTGGATTGTGGATAACGGGTTGCACCAATGGATGTCCAGTATGATGTGACTGATCCATAGCCAATCCGTGACGAGCCTGCGATGTTATGGTTAGATGTGCTAACTGCGGTCGGTTAAAGCTAACTAACTTATCTAAGTACGTTACGACATGCCACGTGTCTCATGCTGGTTCGCCAAGCGACGCGTTATGGCAGCGACGCGTTGTGGCATGACACCGGTACCGGTCCGGCCGGTATGCGGTCCGGAAACGGGCTTAGACTGTGTGCGCGAGCCCGGCTAGCAATCTAGGGCCGACAAGTCTTAAGCTGATAGACTTCGACTATGTGCGCGAGCCGCTAGCGATCTAGGGTCGACAAGTCTCAAGCCTATTAGAGTACATTTAAGCGATCTAGGGCCAACAAGTCTGAAAGGCTAAGTCGCCCTATCGCATAAGGTTCGGCTGGTTCAACGAATAGAACCTAGCAAACGATTTTGGTGGTAAGGGGGAGAGTCGGGATAGAAGCCGAAAGAGTGCAACCGTTACACCCTCACGAAAGCATTGGTAGTCTATTTATTGGGACAATTCTGAAACCCTTCTGAAACAGCTCCACTTGAATTCTATCGGGCCTAGCACGGAGATCAATGTTGCCCTCCCACCCGCCCTGTATGTGTCAATCGGGCTGCCCTCCCGCCCGCCCTCATGGATGCCAGTCCCTTGTATATTTTGCTCTCGAAATGAGGCGAGCTGCAAAATCTGCCGGAGGCGGAATTCTTCGTCCTATACCGTAGTAGCACGACCCAGTCGCACCAAAAATAATTCGTAAGGCCTTGGAGCAAAAATTTCCGGAAATTATTTTGACCTTGGTGCGAAAGTGCGAAATTAAAAAAAAATGCGACAGTGGCGAAACGCCACTTATGCTCGGTTTTGCTTTGGGCGACCGGGATGATACGATGGTGCTGGTTTAGTACAGCCTTGAGTAAGTAGTAATAGCGCTCGGACGGTTGAACCGGGAACGTTTTCTGTGTTCATTAGCTTACCATATTAGGATTTCAGATACTTTAGCAATGTAAATAAGCTATCTATCTTGAGAGTTGATCAGCTCTACCGGGCGGGGTGGGGACCGCAAGGTGTAGCGCTGTCAAACAGTCACGGAGCTGCCCGGTGGACTTGTATTTCCACATATTAGTTATCAGCCAGCTAGCCCTCAGTGGCGCGCCGAGCCTCGGCCGCACTGCGTGATCGGCCGCCCGGCCGAGAACGTACTAAGTTAAGGTCACCAGGGTTTAGCACCGTCGGTATGTACCATTTGTAGTAGAGCCGTTGGCTCTAAGGAGTCCCGTACGTACCGGTCTAGTGCGGCGGCCGGCAGGTGAACCGATGGGTATGCCGTCCCGAAAAGGTTTAGCGAAAGAAAAACTAAATTTCGGGGCATCGACTCCCAAAACTCGTCGAAAACGTCAGTACCCTAGACAAATTTTAGACCTGGAGCCGGGCAAAAAGGCCGTTCGACGTCTAAAACCCGCTTAACAGAGTGATCCAGTCTGCGACGCCAGCTTCTCAGGTTCTCAAAATTACTGGTCGATTGCTATAGCTGGTTTTTTGTAAACAAAAAAACCGAGCTTAAAAAAACTCAAGTATACCGGCCCCGGAAACACGTAAGAATAGGCCTACAACACTGTAAATTCTGGCAAGTGCGAAATTGAAGTAATCCTCAAAACCCTGGTGCGAAATCCAAAAAAGGAAAAAAATAATTTTCTTAAGAGCTTGGTGCGAGTTCCCCGTGCCACTACGGTAGTTTGAAAATCAAGAAAACCGAGCTATAATTTTCGAAAATACATATTCGCACCAGCCGCCATGGTGCGAATGGGAAATGCAGTACGGTACCGGTAGTCTGCCAGGGCTGTGGCAGGTTCCTCGCTGACGCAGGATGGACAAAAGTACACTACGACGTTGTACCTGATCTTTTTGTGTCAGAGGAGGCCAGGAAATATACTGTCACGAGTCACTCGCGAGTCACGACTCGCATGCTTGGCGTCCATCTATGCATACTGTAACACGTGGATCATTCTTAGACATTTATAGCTGTAGATATGCAGATAGACTTAATCAGATTATTCCGATGACTTGCAGGTTTCCCCCTATAACGGTAACATGATCTATATAAACTAATACTTGATTCCTATTGGCTGCACAAGATGAGCTTAGCTAAGCTCATTCTAAGCTCACCCGGACTGCTGAGCTGCAGCAAGTCACACTAAGACTATCCTATAGACTGCATTTATAGACTGAGCTCATGTAAGCACATGAGCAGCTTGGGTCAAGCTACCAAACTGGATTTCTCCACTTGTGGACCTCATTCCCTAGACCCCGGATTGAGGACAACTTTCATCTTAAGATCTTTCTCAACTCTACACTAGCTCTCTCCGCATCCATGTAGAAATCAGGATCCCCTATATCGCTTAAGGGAGCTCCCGATTACACATACATTGGCTGGCGGTCTGACATGTGTCAGAACGATCAGGTTGCAACGTGCTTGGGTCTGGTCAGCTACTCGGCGGTGACTCCGGTCCTAGGCTTTGACCGAAGTCACCGGACACCTACCGAGCTACCTACCGTCCGGGGTGTCCGCTGCGCCTTGCATGGGCGCGACAATATTGCCCTGGCCGTGTCCGGAAACATTGCCCTGGCCGTGTCCGACCGGGCAAGTATAAGTTCTCCCACAAGAGCGAGAGAATAGATCGATGGTTTTTGCGTCGAAGGAGAGCTGATATTGCACGAGGACCTCGGAGGCCCAGGGTCGAGTGGAATATAAAGCTCGACTTTGACGCAAAACCTAAGATGTTCTTGAGCACGACTAGGTAACCAAGTTGTCGCTGGAACGAAGTCCGATGCATCGTCGAGCCTGGTAAGGGCCTCCCGTAAATATTGCACGGCAGAGGGTGGGCTGGAAAATATACATATTCAACGCCGCGGTCGCCCACAGAGTTCGACGACAACACCTTTGCGGTAAGGGGCTCGTCGCATGCGACCGCTGCAATTTTCTTTCCGCCAGAATGTGGCGGGTTGACTTCGGGTCAGGTCGTCCAAATGCGGCATGGACGGATCGTCAAAAAGGTACAGCTTTCGACGGCGGTTTCGATAGTCTGGCGGTGACTCTCCAGATTCAATTCCAAAAAAATACATTCTGATCGCGAAGAAAAAGTTGGATTAATACTGATCCGGTACCGGGGCCCTGTAGTCTGCACATTGAGACCATGAAAGTCCTCGGTTTGGAATGTCGGAACCGCCAGATTCTAGGAGGACCTCCAAACCGCCAGCCACATTCTGGCGGGTTTGATAGTCCGATTGCGCGATCGAACTGTACTTTCTAAAATTCTGTCTGAGTGGCGGTGGCATCCGACGATGGACGGTTTGGGTCTTGGAACCGCTACATTCTCGCGAAAACAGAAATGTAGCGGTCGCATGCGACGAGCCCCTAATTAGTTGCTAACACGCAAGCGGCAACGCCTAAATGGCTGAGCGCAAAAACCGGTCGTGGGATAAATGCCGAATGTCCCGGCTCATTTTAGGCTGAGCGAACATTCCGGACGGGCGATAAGAAACCCAATTTCCGGTTTTGCAGCGGTTTCATCATGGTTTCGGTCAGGGCCGGTTTGTCAAAATATCAGTCGCAGTCGCAGTCGCAATCGCAGTCGCAGTCGCAGTTGCAGTTGCAGTTGCAGTTGCAGTTGCAGTTGCAATTTTGCAAATTCAGTCAGGTTTGATGTTGCACGGTTCGCCAAATCGATCGGGGTTGGGGCCCGGGGGACGTTTCCGGTCAGACACTCACAGTCACAGTCACAGTCACAGTCAGAGTCACGTCGTTCAACCGTACGGTATAGGTATTTGAACCATCACAGTAATACCTAAGTCGAAATTGGTCATGCAAAGCGTGTTGGTCAAAGTCGGGGTATCTTTTGTGAAAGTCAGCCTGCGGGCTATCGCCACAGTCACAGTCGAGGTCGAAGTCAGGAGTACAGTACCCCTGTACAGTCAGATGTCACAGCAGTCCACCGGATCGCTGTACCTATTAAAACAAGTTTCAAAGTGGCAGGGTTTGATAACCACACCCGGTCCTGGCCGGCAACGACGAGTGCCCGGAGGGGCGCTGTACAGGTGTGCTACCGACCGGCCATGGAGCTATAACCATGAAGCTGACACTAAGCCTGGCCTGGGCTTGACTTAGCAAGTATTGGACCCAAGTACTTTAAGCTAGGTACCGTACCTGTACCGTACCGCCAAGGGAATTCATCACCTTTTTGTGCGAATAATTAATTGTGAACGTTTTCAGATTTCACCTTGCGATTCGGATACCGGTATTTATTTTACATTTCGCACAAATCGGAAGTTTGATATCTTGATATTTTGCCACGCAAATCAGCAGGAAAGGGCTATTTTTTATTATTTTCTTCATTTCGCCTTTTCACCCTCGGGTCCCAATTTAGTGTCCAAATTTTCACACCGACTCGGACCCCAAAAAAATTATTTTCTGGTGAATTCCCTTGGCGGTACGGTATTTGATTTCGGCAGGTTCGACGCCGAATAATTAATAATGAAACTTTTAATCCTCTAAGCAGACCTAGCGCCACCTGCTAAAAAATACCGTTATCGACCATTATCGCTTGAAAATATTTTCCAGCGAAATTCGGTTTTAGTGTTTTAGGGTATTTTTTATTTTTCGCCGAAATCATTATAGGTACGGTAGAATGGTTTGATGGAATATTAGTGTGTAAGAAAATTGCCTGTAAGCAAGCCTGTGAGGTAACGATGTAGTAGCATTGGTGGGCATATTAGCGAGTACCGACTACGGTAGGTACCCTTTTTTTTTTTTTTTTGCTCGGTTTTTTTATTTACCAGCTCTAGTTTCGACCCCAGCGTTTGAAAACCCCGAACGTGAGCACCCTAGACTGGATCACTCAGTTAAGCCGATTTTATGCATCGAACGCCCTTTCTGGCAGGCCGTAAACCTGAAACTCGTCGACTCGCGCTTTGCGTTTTGCTGTCTCCAAACTATTTTGTTTGGCGCGTGTGAATTCAAACTTTTGAGGCGTGCTGTACGATGGTTCAGGTACATCCGATATGTTTCCGTATCTCGCAGGCTATACCACTATCACCGGGCTTCGGTGAACCTTGTTGTTGATCTACTCTCCTACTAATTCTGTGCCCGGAAGGCTCCCGGAACGTATGCGTATAGATTGAATAGTTGTAATATGAATATACAAACATTTCTAAGGACAATTGCGGCCGGCGCAGGCCTCCGACCACATCCGATGTGACGTACTGGCTGCCTTCTCCGAAATCTTCAATCCATTTGAAGGCAGTGCCAAATTATTAAAACCGAGCATACGTGGCGTTTCGCCACCGGTCACATTTTTTTTGCTTGTATGACCTGAGAATACCGAGCACATCAGGTGGAGCATCGAGACTGCTATAGCGGGTACCGACTACCTACGTACTACTGAGGAGCGAAGGCACCAACCATAGTACCGGTATGTACCTACCGGCAGCTGTAGTACGGCATAGGGATCTGCTATTCGAAGTTCCCCGATCGAAGTTCTCCAGACCCCGTACTTGATTGTACTCATCAATCGCCATCATGAACGTACTCACCTTGTAGCCGGAAAGTGTCAGTTTTCTGTGCTTGTGTGCTTCTTACCAAATTGACACTGTCAGAAGGTGCAGAGGACGGAAGTTCGTCATGCAGATCGCAAACATGGACACGGAACGGAAGCAACTAGAGGTTGATTACCACCAGCAACAGAAGAAGGCGGAAGCAGCTGCCAAGATCGCCCAGGACCAGCGAGAGGAGGTGAGGTTGAATCATGGCACGTCTTTCTTTAGATTTAACTTCTGGCTCTCCATCCTTCGCCTGCATGGAACAGAGCAGTAATGATTCATCTGTAGTGATTTTGGCCAAGGTTTGAATGCATCTCTGAAAGCCTGCCATATGCCAAGCATTTTCTTGCCTTTGTGCTGGATGCGCAAACAAGACACCCAGTTGCGATATGAATGACAAACGGTGCTTTTTACTTTTTGGAGCGAGAGGGACTTTTTCGGAGGCTTACGGTTGGCCTCGTGGCGTTCCTAGCACACAACTGAAACGTTGATTCCTATGCAGAGCGAGGCCTCGTTCCGTCAAATGATCCAGAGGGTGAGTTACTTGACACCTTTGGGCTTGCAGTGATGCATTGGTCGGGTCCTGATTTGGGCCTCCGTCTGTTCTTTGAGCGACCTGAGTTTCAGATGGTTGCAATGTCTGCGGTGAAGGAATTTGCGGAAGGCAGACCTGCAACTACCTGCAGAACCTGCCGTGCCACATAACCGATTAAGCGGTTCAAAATTAACCCTCATTGGAATGAAGCTGTGAATATCGGGCAAACCATTTTCATCCGGTCGCGTATGCGCTGTGGTGTTTAGACTCTGCTGCACTTTAAGCATCTCTAGCAAGGCTTGTCCAGTAGAAGTTGAACCTGACCCCCTTCTCTGTGTGCAGTTGCGCTCTGAATTGGAGGAAGCGACGAAGGCTGTGAGCGCGGCGGTGTTGCAAGGTGCAGACGAGGGCGCTGGCCAGGAAGTGGTAGTATTTCAGCAAGGCGAGGTAAGTTTCGGAGCGCAAACCCTCTCAAAGCGGCTGCGAAACGAACAGCGCCGTGGCGCGCGTGCACATGCATCCCAACGCACCGGCGCACCTCTTGGAAAACATTTGGAGGGCCTGTAAGGTTCTCTCTAACCCAACCTGCAGGCAGGTCGCTGCGAGGCTTATAACCAGGTTGAGCATCACCACTGCGGGTTTGTTTCGAGAATTCTTCGAGGTCGCTACTATTGCTGGCACTCTTAACGTCAACGAGACGGATTCTTGCTCTGCAGGGACCCTGGGGCGCCAGGGACGTCGCTGGGGCTTGATCTGCCAAAGAGGATTTGGAAGACGGAGGAAAAGACGACCAGCCATTGCCTCCTGCGCTTGTAAGTTCGATTTTTTATCAACACGCGACTGCCCGCTCTGATTCTGGTCTCTCCTTACAAACTCTGTGGATCAGCGTGTTTGCCAATACGAAGCAGTGTGGGCAATGATTGCCATGAAGATTCGTATTATGCAGATTTGAAGATCTCTGCGCTGGTCTCGAACGTCCTCACTCTGGAGCCGAGTTGCTGGATTAGTCAGATGACTTCACTTCAATCCCGAACACGTTACTCTTAACAGGGTGCGCCCTACTCAAGACGTGGCCGAAAGAAGGGGGAGGACAGGACAAAGGGGAAGCGGAGGAAGACCTCAGACTGGGACGAGCAATTGGAGAAGGTGCAGAGCCCCACGCTACTTGATTTGACTAACAGTGGCTCTAATTCAGCTTTGGCTCAAATCGTACTTCGAATTATCGTTGATTGATTCCTGCCAGGCTACTTCAATTGTCTAATTGGAGATTATTTGTGGCGGCGGTGTCTTTGTGGTTTCTGATACAAGCTAAGCCGTATCGTCAGGTCGACAAATTACTGGCGCCTATATATAATTTCTTCTCGCACTTGCTTTTGCACCATGCCTACTCATCTTGCCAAACCGGCGGTGACTGAAAAGAAGTTCGAAACTTTTGATCTTTCCTTGCAGGAACGGGAAAATTTGAAGCGCTGCTTCGATGACCGCCACCACATGCAGAAGGGTAACCTTGTCCGCTGTCAGGCTACTGGTTGTCAAAGCAGAAGCTCCTCTCACTGCAAGGGGTGTATGATGGCCTTCTGCGCGGTTAAAGGGAAAATTTGCTTTGCCTCACATCACGACCCTATGTTTGTGAAGTACATTAATGAACATATGAACGACGCTCGCGACGGATTTTGAGGAGCTCTACAACAGTGGGGAGGCGTTGAAACGAGTGATTATTTTATGTAAGGGAACTGGTTTCGCATGAGGCTTTTGAGGGACGCTGATCAGGGTGGACGCGATAATGTGTTATTCGGGTCTTCTTTGGCCGCAGAACGATCCCCTTATGAGTAAATCGCCCTTGTTGCCGGAAGCACCTATTTTGATGAAGAAGCAAGCCTTTTGCAGCACTACAGGCACATGAAATGGCTTGGACACGAATCAAGAAGCGAAGTTAGCATCCAGAAGTATGAGTGCGCATAACATTACGTGTTTTATGCACGAACTGCCGGGATTAAAGTTGCACATGATTTCAATTACCTTCTCGCCAGAACTTGCAAGTGAATAAGCCCTGACGGGGACTTATAAAGACACAATCCTTGTACATCTGCGTAGTGCTAGCTTCGATCTTGCACATTTTGCATCACGCAGCCAACTTTCTACCATCAACGTCATGTCCTCAAGGTTGACGTACAAATTAGGCACTAGCTGATTGCACATGCATCACTTCAAGTGATGGTACATATGATCACATATACATAGTATGTACCTTCACTTGGTGTATGCAATGATAAATACGTAATATATGTTGCTATAGCTAGGACGCATACCAGCAGCACGTCAAAGACCGTGAGCTCTCAAGTCAATCAAGTTGTAGCTCGTCAACATGTATGGATGACTACGTATAGCTTGACTTACGTAGGTAAATCATATTATATAATGGAGCTAGCAACATTCAAATTCTTTAATCGTAGCTTAACTTAATCATAATCCTCGAGCTTAGCAACATGCCAGAAAGTTGTTTAGTATAGATGGCAATATGCATAAGATCTTTCCCTATTTTTTCAGCTTAAGCTGGTATTGCTGGCGTGCTGCTAAGGAAGCAGGACGGTCGATTCAATGCATAATCCATACAAAAATGGTTGAAGTAAGACGAATCGAGACGTTTCAGGGGTTTTTAAACCGATTCATATTAAAAGCGACCCGATTAACACACTGATGTTTGATCAACCAGCCCTCAAAGGTCTGTGCAAAGCCCTAGGCTTGCAAAGGGAACGGCTTATGAGGTCCAATTTTCTACAATCTGTAACCAGGGCCATACGTGACAAAAATCTCCTCTCGCTCAATCAAACACTCTGCAATAAGCCAGCAACACTGGTCATCTTTGTCCGGCAAGCTAAACCTGGCGTTGTTTTTCTTGCGGAGGGCCTTATCTCCGCTGGTTTTGGATAGCGTTCGATCATTTGCAATACTCCCAAGCCCCTGCCCAGGCTTCAGATCGCTCCCCTGTACCCCTATCAAACTGCAACTGTTCTTCTCCCACTGCAAAGCATAGTTCTTTTCTGAGCATTTTGTGAGCTGAGACGGATGGCAGTGCCGGAGACTGCCTTCGTACCAAGTGATGTAGTCTCCTGGCTGGTACGTGACACATGCCTTCAAGCCCTTTCCAGCATCCGGACCAAGCGTAGAGGGAATGACTACATTTGCACCTTGCAGATAACCACCATGCTGCCTGGCCCACTCCTTGTCTCTTCTCCTGTGGAGATGGCACCTGGTAAAAATGTAGTAGTCAGCTCTTGCATTTCTGTAGCCCAATGGATGCAAGAAGGATATATAGACTTTTTCTTCAAAGCTAGGCAGATGTGAATAGCTGGGCAGCTTGAAATGGACTGACAGCAGATCATAATATACAGCTATAACAAGAGGGCATTGTCGAAAATGCCAATTGATCTACGCAAGCGCTTCAACATCACGAAATGTTGCATTCCAGTTTCTCTCGGTCTCAACAATCGAAAGCTATGGAGTGCAACCTGGCTGCTAGCATTGGAACGGCTTCGACCTTCTAGCAACATGCTTCGGATTCTCAGTTGTGACGTTGACATGGAGTTTGATCTGACAGATTCCAAAAGTTGAGAGGCAGTTCATGTTCAAGTGCCTGTACATCAAAACAGCCCATACGAAAGTGAATTGTGGAAACGATGCTTCAAGCTTTGGTATCACTCAGAAACTCCTGCGCAGCTACACAAAGCCGTACCTCCTGTTGCTGTCATCACCCAGCGCACCAGCAATGGCCCTCATGCGGCATCTTTGGATTGAATCTCCACGCCGTACCAAACCAGTGCAGGTGTAAGTTCCGTAATTCAGGCCCCCAGGGTTCAATTGCGTAACACTCGATGCTGCACTCGAGGCGTCGTTATCGACTGTGTTCCCGTTCAAGAGCTGCAACGCCCTCTTCTTGACCAGGTGCCTTCGGGAGGTTTGGACAGAGACCCTCTTTTTATGTTCTTGCAACTTTAATCCTATCTTGAAGGGCTTGCTTCGGCTCTTCTTCCCGGGGTGGTCCCTGCTCACATGTTTGTGAGCAGTTTTAAGCTTCTTAAAGCAACTTCCTTGGCAGGATGTACATGCCCATCCACATGTGATTAGCTCCTTCAACCTCACATAATCCTCTGCATCCTCAGTGGCACTCGATGGCAGCCTTTTCTGCTCTTTGGGCGGCATGATGGCCCTGTAGTGCGCCCCACAAATGCTTTGACGTCAGAGGTGACCAAGACTCGTCTTCAAAAAACCAAGTCATTTCGAGTCAGGGTGGGCCTGTAACTTACCTAGTAGTAGTACCTATGGAAGTACGGTACCTACCGTTTGTACCCACGCGGGCCACGGGTTCCGGTCTTGTACCGGTGAGTTCGGCGCGCAAATCGGAATTCCCCATTGTCCTCTTTACCACGCAGCGTCAATATAAATGCGCGGAAACTCCGACGCGACCTGCCGTTTAATAGGTGAACCGTAGGAACGTCATGGGAACGCTGAGTGCGGCACAAACTGCCAGTGCTCCGGGGCAAGGGGCGCCATCGCGCAGACAAGACGAACTTCATAGTTCTGAGATGCATTGAGTGCTTGCGAGCTTTGAACGTGAAGGAGGCAGAGCTTCGCTTTCAAAATGCCCTTGTGAACGGATTTTGATTCAAGTTGGGAGCTCATCACACCGCTTCTCCAGCGGACCAAGCTTCATTCGCTCAGTTTTGCAGCTACCTCAGCTGGACGCCAATACAAGGTTAGCAGCTGGACTGAGGGGACGATCTGACGGAGGGAGGTTCCAATGGCTAGCCTTGGCACTATTGCAAGAAGAGTTCTTGCAGATCCGGTTGAGGACCAAGCAGGCAAAGAAAACATACCAGAAGGCCGGTAAGCATAGCCCCCAGGAGCACTGGTGTGCCAATCTGATGTTCTCCGCATGTTGCTGAAATTTGTGCATTTCATGCAGACTTGCACACTTTTGGCAGCTGGAAAAATCAAGAGACAACTATGTCAGGACCAATAGACAGTTGAAAAGGAAGTAATCTTTTCTTGTTCTGCAAGGTATCAAGGTGCTGGATAGTTACTAGAAGTCTTTCTTCTGAGGTCGTTTGGATCGCTTCCAGCTCAGTGAATCTGCAACTTTCTTAGACAAGCTCCGCCAAGTAACAATGGCGCCTTTGCCCTTTTTGCAGAGACCAGCCTCTGCGATCAACATGTTTCATGTGCAAACACCATCTTGGCACCATTAGGCAGCTCAATGAAAAGCTAGACGCTGCAAAAGGTGACTCTTTTAGGGGGAAAAACTCAACTTTTGCGCAGCTTCAGGATGCAAGGACTACAAAGCAGATAAAGTCTCTCGAGTCTGAAGTAGTTGCGCTACAAGAAGAGGTTGCCAAGCTTCAAAAGCAGAATGCCCGCATCTCACGGTCAGGAAACAGGGGTGATTCTCAGCACATGCAGGAAACAATAGTACGTCTCAAAGCCAAACTTAGAGAGTGCTCCCAAGGGGAAGGCCATGGTGAGGCTCTGCACAACGAAACCTTGCAAGATCAACTCTCAAAAGCTAATTCAACTGCCACGTCTCATGCCTACAAGCTTACGCAAGAGAAGTTGGCAGTAGAATCACAGAAGATGGAAATTGCGGAGTTAAAGTCTAATCTGGAGGCCACTATCGCAGCCTTTGACAAGCTGCTTGAAGAGTATCAAGGGTTTCGGGACGAGTTGGTCAAACAGAATGAACAGGTGAAATGGGCTGCGGCTCAAGACGAAGAGCACATATAGAATCTAAAGGCTGAATTGGGGGTTGCAACCAAAGAGGTGGAAAGATTGAACATCGCTATGGACAGAAGCAGAAGCAGTTGGGAAGGACAAGTGGGGGAGCTGACAACGGAGTTAGAGCGCCTGAGAGCAGTCAATGTTGAATGTAGTGAAGCTGCTGCAGAAGAGAGTTGTTTAGAGGTTGATGAGGCTGCTGCGCTAGCGCTCACGGACATGAGAGCTTTGACAACGCAGTCACAAGGTCATGAGGTAAGTTACTTTGTGCAAGCACCAAGTCGTTGGGAATCTCCACGTGAGTCTATTTGCTTCTTAGAAAGCTGATATAATCTCAAGTTCTTTGTCTCTGAGTCTACTTGCTTCTCAAGAAAACTGAATATCGTCCCCGAAACTCTTTGTCCCTGAGTCCTCTTTTTCAATTGGACATTCATGAAAGTAAGGACACGTGGCGTGGCTCGTTGCAGGCGCGTGTGGGCCCTGCACCGGCGATTGTGGTGAAATCCATCTCAAAAAAGAAGCGGAGGGAAGACGAGAGACTGGAGGTAGGGAGAAGGATCTTTCCTTTGGCTTCCTTGTCCTCTTAAACCATCCTGGGGAATTCCTTCATGTGTAGGCTGAAACGGTTGCAACAAGAGCGCCATCACGAGGCCCTACTTGTCAGTCGATTCGGACGAGTTGCGTTAACATTTAAGAATGTTCACACTTTGGAGCACGGACCCCATTGGGATTATGTTTGGCCTCATATGCTCTTTGTGACACTTCGTGCGTCCTTAAAACCAGACTTGAAGAGCCTTGATGACGACTTTGGTGCCTGACCCTGCTGCCTCACTATTTTCTTCGCCTTGCATCTCTCAAAACAGGTCGTGATCAAGGCGGATGGTGGCAAGACGAAAGGCGCTGCCGCATTGAAACGAGACTGGGAGGCCTACTGGTCTAAGGTAAATGCCCTTTTCCTTTGTGTCTTTCAACTCCTTATCGTCAATAGCTTGAAGCCTTCAGTGCTCCCATCCTGACTGCTCTTGCAGGGCGACTCGCAGCACTGAAGGTGCCTCCTTCGAGTACCAGTCTGGTTCCATTGGCAAGGACCTGACTAAGCAGCTCATGGAAAAGCCTTCTAACCAATCTTGTTCACCCTCAACTCCGTAATAGCATCAAAAAGCTCGCCGAAAGCCCGTATTGTAAAGTATCAGATCTGTCTCAAGCATACAGCGTTCTTGCTCTACAGGAACGTGAGCTGTTGAAGTCTACCTACGAAGACCGCCACTCAGTGATCAAGCATCCTGGCAGACCAATTCACTGCAGAGGCTCTGGTTGTGCCAAGAAGACCACGTCGTTTTGCGGAGGGTGTCAGCTCGCGTTCTGCACGAACGGTGGCAATTGCTGGGCTAGACATCATGAATGGGGCTACCTGAATTTCATCAGAGGTGCGGAGGAGGATGCCAAAGACGCGTTCGAAAGGAAAAAGCAGAAGCTGTAGTGCTCTACGAACTCGAGGCGATTCACTCCGAGGAGGTAGTTTATCACGCTGACGCAGATTGTAAGAAACAAGATTGTCTTGCGTTGTCGAACATAAAACTGAGTAGGCGACACAGCATTCGCTGGCTTCAAACTTTCGGGTCTCCTTCCGAGGCTGGCAAGCTCATTCTTTGCTGGATCTTATTTTTTTAAATGCGCCGCCGCACTCTGGCAGGTCACTCTCTAGATTTTGGCAGCTAGCTTCAGAGGCCTAGGATCTATTTGGTAAGCTGAACAAGCCCGCTAGCGGAAGCTGAACAAGACTTTCTTTGAATGACCAGGAACATCATTCAATTTCATGCTGCATGTCATGAGCTAGAAGCCTATATGCAGCGGGTGGCTACGGCATGTGATAGAGAACATTACCGTACCAGATCTACCAAGTAGGTCCACGCTTTCTCAAGATATTGAAAGCGTCCGCGTATGCATGAGGTAGTACATTTCATGTGTAAGCTACTGTTGTAGGCAATCACTTACAATGTGCGTCTCATGGCACGTGTCGTAGGTCGCGCGGTGCTTCGAGCATTCGATGGCCAATGCAAGCGATGATGCAACCATCAGTCGTGTTATAGGACGAGCAAATACAATTGGAGATAATAGTCTTCGACCAAATTCGTTGTGAAGCTCAGCTGTTCAACGAGAAGGAGTAGTTATTCAGCAGTATTTACAAGCTGTATTTACAATCAAGTACAACCCGTCTGGATTTGACGGGACCAAGCTAGTATGGAAGCTCTTTCCTCATCCAGATGCTCCGGTAGTTCAGATCCACCTCCTCGCCGAATACCGCTGGTACTGGAACCGGGAGCATGTGGACGATCTCGGTGATTGTCCTGATGTCTATGACGGACACCTGAGGCTGACGCGGTCGCGTTTCCCAACGGTATACCGGACACCTGGCTGCGTCCACGGCTCTGGGCAGTCGCTGATACCAGCGAACGAGTGCCAGACAGTAGAACACGTCCGCGCCAGGGCGACCTTTTCCGCGAAGACTCTTGACCGCCCGCCTCTTCAGCTTCATCCGGAAGAGCATCAGGACCTTGGCAATCCACGGCTCATCGCCGTCAGCTTGCACCACCGCCACGTCCTTGAAGACCGGCCGGCCCATGAAAGCCGGGCATGCTCGAAGGCGGTGGGTCTCGACGCGTTCGTTCGCCTCGGATGGAGCGACGTAGAGGGTATAGTTGATGTAGATCTGCAACATAAAATGGTACGGTGCTTGCCTATCTCGAACTTAATGATCCGAACGATTCAAGTCAGCCCAGCTTGGACAAGCGGTCGACATTAACAGAGCAGAACTTGTCGCTGCGCGGCCTCTTAAGCTTGGCGTCAAAAGAGCTTCTGGCACAGTGGCCATCAAAAATCTCAGCGCAATCAGGCTGTTAATTTGTGGCATCTTGGACGAAACAAGACGTACCTTGCCGTCTTCTGGCGCTGGCCAAGCAGCGGTCTTGGCTTTGACGGCACTGGCGTAAGCCTGGACCTGCCTATCATCCAGTCCTTGGACTTCCCGAAGGATGAAGAAGCCAATCTGCTCGGGTAGCTGCTTGTAGAAGTAACTCAGAGGCTCTCGCTTGAAGGAGCCGTCCTTGTTCCTTGCTTCAGGGTGGAGTCTTGGCATCCAAGGAGGCCTGTGCCTCATCCAGGCTCGAAGCGATTTTTTCGGCTTGCTCACTGGTAACGAAGAGGACAAAAGGGTCAATAAGACGGGGAGTGTTCTTCTACATCATTCACTGCCGCTGAGGCAGCCCTTCCAAGGCAGCCCTCGCGGGGCAGAACAAAACGCTACGAGAGGCAACCATTCTCTGTCGGAAATCCCCAAGTTGCTGAGTTTTATGCGGCTCTGTGATAGCAAGACGGATCGTGACTTACGCGACAAGCCCAGGCGAGGTTTTTTCGGAGCGTCGATGTCCTTGAGCTTGACATCGATGGTACTCGTCAACGCGAGCTGGTTGGTACCACTGCTGAAGGCCGTCTCGTCCGCACTCCTGTTCTCCCGAGTCCTGAAATCCCGGCCTCGAAACCAGCTGATGACCTTGAGCCTGTTTGAGGCCAGGCTGCTTTGCCACCTGCGAAAAAGGCACAGACACCGAGTCATTGGAAGATTATCAAAGATTGCAGCAGTCAGCTAAGAAAGTCCTACAAGTCTTGCGACTTATCTGAAACAAGTCTCTGGTTCCAACACTCGGTGTGCAATGGTCGCTTTACAAAAGAGACGATGCAATTACGCTCGATGCACATAGTAGAGCGGCTGGGACTAGCAGGCTTTGAAAGGGAGCCTCAAGCAGAGCTTCAAGCAGATGCGAAACTCACTGATTGACCATCCGGGGGATCAACTCCGAGGGCTTGGCACCGATGGCATGGAACCAAGACTTGATGAGCTCGTGAGCTCGTTCGCCACGATCCGTGTTGCTGAAGCTGTAGGAAAACAAGCAACACGAGTAAGACAACCGCATTTGTCCCTTAGAAAACTCCAGCGCTGCCCACTCAGAAAGGAAAACGAAACAAGTCTTCATTGCCTAGGGAAACAGAATGTTCGCTCAGCTTTTAAACGTAGATTGGTACCTATCAGACAGCGTATCCTTACTCTGCGTGACCGTTTCGGATTGTAGCGGGCTTGAACAAAGCGAGCTGGAACATCTTCTGGAAAGCCCAACCCAGCTCATTCCCGTTAACCCCTTTCCGAAGGTGACCGGTTGCGTCGCACGCGTCCTGGAACTTAAACAGCAGCCTGTCGGACTCCTCCAGGCTGATGTCATCCGGTTCCTTGTTCCACAGGGTCACGTTGATCCACCGGTTCAGGGCGTTGACCCAGTTGACGAGGATGTCACTATGCCGTTCGTCCTTGCAAAGGTTTGCGAGGATGCAGGCAAGTATCTGCATGCAAGAAGTGTGTGGCCCCGGTTTGAAAACTGGGCGACCAAGCATGTCCAGGTGATCGCAGCCGTCCTCGCAATCCTTGATCGGTTGTCGACTCTGCAACTTACGATGGTGGCGGGAAACAGCGCCTCACTGCTTAGACATCGAGCAGGCACGCATTACAGGATGACTTCGAAACGAGGAAGGGGAATGTGACAGAGCGAGGTGCCCGACTAACCTGGAGGACACCAGCCTTTTCCCGATGGGAGCAGTTGTGGGAAGTTGAGAAGTGGGTCTTGTTGGAAGGAAGGCGCATGGTCGGGGGTTTGTCGGTGGTAAAGGCATAGTGCACGCCTCTGTCCAAAGCCAACAGTAGCTTTTTCTGTTCGCCGCGCGGAGCGCAGGTTCTTAGGATCTTGTAGAGGTGGACCCCCACCAGGCTCCCGTACACAACGTGCAACTCGTCCGGGCCCAGAAAGCACTCCTGAAGGGGTAACTCCTCCTGGAACGCAGTGCCCTCGAGGAACATCTGCCAATCGAAAGGGGAGGAGCGAAAGGTTTAGTACTTGGTCAATTCTCAAAAAGAAAGACCGCCTTCAACCAGTCAGTCTCCAGGAACTACAAAGCCCACTCGGCTCGATCAAACCAAGAAGTGGCAAAAGGACGATGAACCAAGCTTGAACGTGTCAGAGGGCCGCATGTCGAACAGCATTGTGACGGTTGGACAGGGTCACACGCTGCCTGTCTACTTCACATGTGCGGAAACCATGCGAAGCTTCTC